AATAGTATTGTTTACTCGAGACTTTGAAGGAACCAAGGATTAAACTGATTAACTTATTAGTAAGCGATCTGCCCTGAAGCACTGGCTTGAAATAAAAAGGATATCAAAGGATCTCAAAGACAATGATTACATTTTATTCTTCTTACCTTCATTAAAGAAAGCAATTGCCAGCATTAACCGATCCAGTGCCAGTGGTGCCGCTTCTGTGGTGTGGATAATCAGAGACACTGTTGCAAAGAGCCCAAAGAACAAGTACATGGTGGCGTGGTGCCAGCTGTGCAGATGGTCCCAGTGTTTCTCTACGAAGTCGTACAACTGAAGCTTCGGTCCACCCGATCCAAACTGTTCTGCCAACATCCCTGAAAGCACCACATCAGAGAAAACACGCACATCTCCTTAATTAAAGCCCTGATTTGTCTTGGATTTACTCGAGAAGAGTCTTGCTAGTTATAGCTGATATATGGATGCATTAAGAAGCTTTTTGGAAACGCTTACCAACAAGGGAGAAAAAGAGTATGACTGAGCTCTCAATGATCTCCAGCCGTCGCTGTGAGGCTCTGCTAGCCAGACGAGTAGAACCAATACCCTTGTTCCTGCGCGTGGCATGCCAAATCGAGTACTTTACCGTCCACCAAATCCCGGCAACAAGGAAGAAGGTCCCAGGGAGAGCGTGGCCTCTGAAGCTGCCCATGATACCTCTCAACACCTAGAGAAACAGATTAGGTACTTCATGGAATTAGAAGTACATATTACACAAACACTTCTTCCCACTACTAACATGTTTATTTAAATCAGCCAGATATGACTTGAAACAAACAATAATTTAACCTAATTTATCATCTGAAGAGTAGACAGGATCTATTTTTAGCACAACTGGAATAAGTGGATAAAAGAAAAGGGAAAAAAGTGCAACAGTGCCCATAATTTAGTTAAACAGCGTAATCAAACATAATTAGCGTGTGTGTTGGAGACCGTCCTACAGCTGAGCTCAGCAGAAGAGCGTCTAGCTGTGGGAGGAGGCCTGTTAGGAGTGTCACGAGTCATTTACCTTTACGTGCAAAAATAGAAACCCATTTCTTAACATGCACTCCAGAAAAAGCACTTTGTTTGCAAAGACTGCAGCAGCATCTAACACTGAGTATAGGATCCTCTTGATAATGACTAAATATCATTAAACCTGCACCGGCTTATGGTTAGAGCCTGAGCTTATAGCCCATATGTAAAGGTTTTACTGAGGTCAAAGGGTGAAAAAGACCAAGATTATTTTAATAATCTATGCACCAAAATATCTTTCTGAAAACAGAATCACCACCCCCTGCTGGTTATTAGAAAGAATGCAGGCTCAAAAATTTCCCTTTTCAGACGTGGAAATGTCTATTGTATCAAGTTAATTTATGTTTCTAGGCCAAGCAAAAGGTTAATGGGAAAACTTGCAGACTTATCTAAAAAATAAAACTCAGAATTTGATATTCTCCTTTTTCAAAAAGGAGGAAAAAGCATGAAAAGCAGTCAATACGTCATTATATTGAGAAACATGTCAAAATGAGAAACAATTTACATCATTTACCAAGCTTGATATAGTCCAACATAGTTCATATTATCATTAAAACAAGACTTTGGAACAATTTTATCATAGTAACTTAAAATTTTACTTATGTGATCAGAGGTACTGGAATGGTAAACATAATGATATTGTCTCCGACTTCTATATATGAGGCTTCATATTTAATTAAAGAAAGAAAGCTTTTTAAAGTGTTTGACTGCAGTGCTCTTAGGCAATGACTGCACTTTGTAAAGTGAGAGCAAAGCTGGAGTGGCATGAATAGCAGGCAGAGAATAAGAAAAAGGCGCATGGCTGTACTGTCCTTTGTGATGGAGATGACCAGGCAATATTCTGCTCGGCAACAGAGGAAACCTTTGAAGGAGGACACTCAATAGAAACCGATTGAGATGTTAAACCCAGCTCATCTGTGTCCGACAGTCTTTTGGGGGGTGCAGCCTCTCCAGACTGAGGAAAACACTCCAGTCTCCATGGCACTCAAGAGCCACTGGAGGATTCATCAGTGTTTGGCTGATTCAGTGTTTTGGCTGATTTAGTTTAGCCACAGACACTAGTCATCTGCGCCAGATATAAAATCTCCCAGACCGCTTTTTTTTGACAACGATGTAAAATAAATAAAGTATTCTTTTATTACACCAACATGGTGGGAGTGGTGTAGTAAAAGTGTTCTCCACAAGTACAAATATGATTTCTATTCTGTGAATTGGTCAAAACTATGAGCATGAAGAGGTTTTGGTGCATATTTTTGAGGCTGGGATGTCTGGGAGGCAGCTGTCTTCAAAGGGTGTTCCTGTTTGAGTTTTGCTACTAAAAATATAACAAAAAACAAACAAGCAAACAAAAAAAAACTTCAGCTGAGCTAATTAGAAAGGGTGCACACTTCAATAAAGTAGGTTTTTCTGTAAGTTTTTGAGTAAATGTAGCATGGTGCATACCACCACTGATCCCGTCTCATCCACTGTAAGATTAACAATATTCTAGATCAAGCCAAAGTTAAATATAGACAATACTGAATAAGTAGCGTCTGCATCACATTTGTGAACCTACACTATGTGATACTTCACTCTAAGGGTTTATACTAAACGTTTTAGCAAGTTTAAATTTCCCAGCCAATCTGAAGTCAAATTACTCAGATTTCTCTCTCCTGAACGTAAACTTTGAGGACAGTTATGTCTTGAGGTCTACTAAAAGAAAAAGAAAAAAATGGAAACAGCCGTTTGACAGAATCAGAGCTTTTTTTTTAGTAGTTTATTTATTTTTTAAGTAGTTTATTTTAGCTTCAGGAGATCAAACAGTGCATTGGTTGTGGAAGTTAAATCGTGAAATCACTCAGCAACATTGTCTAAACGGCCACCCGATGTCTTGTACATAATTCTCGATGGAGACCTTCCTAATCTTTCTTTCTTTCTTTCTTTCTTGACCTGGCTTTACATTTTATCTACACATGAAACAGTAGGCTTGATTGTCTTTACTGTGAGAGGAAAAGAGAGGGTCTCTTACCCAAGTTTGCTTTACTCCGGAGATCAAAAGTTAGTGGAAGTATTCAGACAGAAAAGGGAAAGAATTATTTTTAAAGCATCTTCACTTTGCCCCCCAATTGCATAAAATCTTTCTTTTTTTTTTTCTTTTGGAAAAGAATATGGGTCTCTCTCTTAGTCTAGACACAAGAAGTAAACATCTTCTCCGAGCCGGAATCCCAGCAGGATCCAGACCAGATCCGTTTCACAACCCTTTTTTTCCTCCCCTACTCTAAACACTTCGAGCTTTTCTCTTATCAAACCCTCCCATTGGATGGCTCCTGTGAGCTTGGGTCACCAGTCTGTGCGGTGATTGGTTGGAGGTAACGTCAATCTCAGGTGTCCACGTGTGCACTTTCACTCCGCCTGCTCGTGCACGGCTCGGTCCCTCCTCACTCTGGGAAAACCGCTACTTTCCGTCGTGCCAGGGCAGGCCTGGCTGGGCCGAGACAAGACTTCCAGCACGTAGACCACAGCTGGAAGACTTCCTCATCCTCAGGAATGAGGTTTCTTGACCAAGTCTCGTTTTACTCGCTT